CAATTTTAGTAAAGCACCTTAAGACCCTTCCATCTATGAAGAGTATTTGATTCTACCATATCTGGATCTGGAGAAGAAGATTTTTGAAATTTTAGTCAATTTTACCCTTTTTGGCCCCGCCCCTCAGGCCCCTGGGGACTATATAATTCACAATTTTAGTTGACCTTTGGCCATGGAAGGTTTCTGCAAAATTTCATTGAAATTGGTTCAGGGATTTTGGAGAAGTTTAAAATGTAAATTGTTTACAGACGCACGACGGACGACGACGGACAAAAGGCGATCGCAATAGGTCACTTGAGACTTTGTCTCAGGTGACCTAATAAGCTGCGAAAAATCTTCCTTTGCAAAATGTATGGCACATACAAGCAGATTGTGCAAAGGAACTATATATATAATTATATATATATACAAGCAAGTGTTGGTGGTGTGAGTGGAGGTTAAAAAATGTAGCTGGTGAAATATGGTTACTCTCATTAATTTATCACACACACACTTAAATCAAACGCTTTACCTCCATCATACAAGAAAAGATCCTTATTTATTAAAGGAAGATCCTATTTTTAGCAATTATGAAAATTATACTGAGTGATAGTCATTTGCATACCAGCAGCAGATTCAAGATTTTTGAAAAGAAGGGGCCATAACTCCTCAAGTCAAAAGTTCAATCAAAAACAATCTTTGAAAGGAAGGGGCCATAACTCCGGAAGTCAAAAGTTATATTAAAACAATCTATCTTTTTAGACAGCATATTAAAAATAGATCAGCTACTTGGCCACAAAGGAACACACCCTCCCTTTCTCTAAATCGACCACTGTATATTTGAGTTTTACAGTATTGAAGTGATCTGCTGGTTAATGTTGGTTGTTCAAATTAATATTATTTTTGTTTGAAGTTTAATAAAAATCTTAGTCCTAATTCCTAACTGTTTCGACACTAAATTAATAAGCCAAGCATGTGTTTACCACACTTAGAAAAATGTCTCAGCAATTCTAAAAATTAATCAGAAAAACAAGATTAGTAAAAGGAAAACATCAATGCAGATTAGTAAACATCAAAATACATGACAACAAAAAAGAAAACATGCACTTCAACAAGATATATATAAAACTTAGCAGAAAGAAAACATTCATGACAACTAGTTGTAAAGGAAAGCAGAAAGAAAAAGATCATGAAAACAAGTTGTAAAATTTACTAGAAAGAATACAAGTTATGAAGGTTAGCAGAAAGGAAACATTCACGACAACTAGCTAGTTGTACAGGTAAGCAGAAAGAAAACATTTATTATATAACAACTAGTAGTAAAGGTTAGCAGAAAGAAAACATTTATTATATAACAACTAGTTGTAAAGGTTAGTAGAAAGAAAAATATCCTTACAAATAGTTGTAAAGGTTAGCAAAAAGAAAAAGATCATAACAAATAGTTGTAAAGGTTAGCAAAAAGAAAAATATCCTTACAAATAGTTGTAAAGGTTAGCAAAAAGAAAAAGATCCTTACAAATAGTTGTAAAGGTTAGCAGAACGACAACTAGTAATAAAGGTTAACAAAAAAAACCTCTTGTGACAAATAGTTGTACAGATAAGCCGAAAGAAAACATCATGACATCTAGTTATAAAACTAGAATTTTGTTTTTGCACAAAAACATGTCTCCCCTTATTAGCCAATAGACAAACATCGGTATAAAAAATTAACAAAGGGCCATATCGCTTTATATAGTGGGGCACGAGACCCGAATTTAGAATGTGACACTCCTACTTCCCAAGATACATTAAAACTATAGCAAGTTTGCATTGGTCAACATAGGTGAAATAACATGGAAGTTATGCTCCGGACAAACTGCGGTATTAGAAATTAACAAAAGGACATAACTCTGTATAAAGTGGGGCACGAGACCTAGTTCCAGTGCACTGCACACCTTCTGTGGGTGATGCAGGTATACTTCAAGTTTGACTAAGATATCTTTAATGGTTTAGAAACTATGCTGTGGACAAACTTCGGTATTAAAAATAAACAAAGGGCCATAACTCTGTATATGGTAGGGGCATAAAACCTGATTTTAGTGCGAGAGATTCCGCCTTCCCAAGATACATAAATATGGAAAGTTTGGTCAACGTAGGTGAAATAACATGGAATTTATGCTCCAGACAAACTTCGATATTAAAAATAAACAAAGGGCCATAACTCTGTATATAGTGAAGAACGAGACCTAAATCTAGTGCACTGCACACCTCCTGTGGGTGATGCAGATATAATTCAAATTTGATCAAGCTATCTTTATAGGTTTAAAATTTACGGGCCGGACAAGAATTTACTGAAAATGGTGCACTTATTTGACCTTTGACCTTGAGGTGAAGGTCACAGTTACCTAATTCCAGTGCACTGCACACCTTCTGCATACCTGAAGTTTCATCAAGATATCTTTAACAGTTTAAAAGTTATGACCTGGAAAAGTTGCGATTAGAAGAACCAGAAGAAGAAGAAGAAGAACCAGTACTAATACAATATGTCTTCCTTCATTCGAAGGAAAGACATAATAAACTCAAGGTAATTCAAGAGCTATATATGTTAGCAGAAAGAAAACATTCATTACAACTACTTATGTGCAAATGCTAGTAAAAATAAATAAAACACTAATTACGACTTCCAATATAAAAGGTTAGTAAAAGAAAAGCATGAATGACAATTAGTCATAAAAGTTAGCAAAACGGACACATATATGGTCAAGCACCTAATATGATCAAAATGGACAAATCTATTAAGTATGACATTCCATCTATTCTGTTGAAAATGGACAAAAAGTGTCAAGTACCTCATATCCAACGGAATATCCCAACAATTATATGTTCAAAATGGGCAAAACCTTGATCTGATATAACCTTATCAGTGCTAATTCCTGTACACATATGGATAAATGCAGGCCTTTTTTATGGCCAATTATGGGCTAATTCCCCTCTCTAATTTTGGCATTACTTTCCCCTATTTCAGTTAAAAAAAATCCCCACAAGTAACTAAAATACTACCAATGAATATCTGTCATGGTTCTATTGCGTTTTGATTTTCTGTCAGTTCGACGACAGTGATATATTTTATTTTCCCTGTGTTAATGTTGTCGATATTTTACCACACTGTTTATGGCTGGCTTTGTTTACAGTATATGATTTGAAGCGTCTATAATGAACAGGGAGAACCAAAAAATAAAGATGTCATCCATGCCCCCCCTCCATATTTCCCCCATTTTAAAAAAGGTTCTAACTTTCTATTCCTGCAGTAATCCCTGACATAGGTTCATGTACTATGATCTTCATTTTGTTATAAACAACAGTGACAGGACTGTGGCTAGGACAGACACGAGTGTCACACATCCATCCCTGGGGCCCGTCCCTTATAAAATGGTACTTAGGCATAAGAAACACTGAAGTAATTATTTTTCGATTTCAAATGGAGACAGATGTAGCCTTGTAGTTAACTCAGCTTTATCTATTACCATCCAGCTTTTAAAAAAAAGGATAAAATGAAATTATACACAAAAAAAAGGTATATCTGACAAAATACCAGAATATGTATATGAAACCCAAGCTTGAAATTGTGAAAATTATGTTAGACTGCTAGCTAGGACACTCAAATCATGCATTCCCCCGACTAAATTAATGCTGCAAAAATTCCTCACTCAAAACTTGTGCTCAGAGAAAAATGTCCCTTTGCCTGGGGCCGTTTCTGAAGATTGCAATTGATTGACACTTAGTATGTGTACAAATGTATTAGGTCATCTTCTTACTAACAGTTATGACAACTTATCATTCATGCTCGTCTCATTGTTCATGCTTTGAATATAATAAAAGCTTCACCGATTACATGCAGTGATCACGGAAAAAGTAAGTAAAATCGTTTAAGTCTAAAATAAACACAGAAACACAAGAAAGGACACAATAATTTGTCTACAGCATGGCCTCTGACCTCCTGGGGTAACTGTGGCAGGTGCATAGGTCGGCCTCAGGTGTTGGTTACATAGGTCTGGACCCGAACAACAGATAATGTAGTTAACATCCTCTTTTTTGGCAGACACCATACAGTGTGGGGTGTCACCCTGCATCTTCCCTTCTTGGACTCGGATATAGATCTTTTCCTCTTTCAGACATCTGAAAAATAGATGAAATATTAATATCGATCCAGAATATGTATGACCAGAAAGGTCAACCCAAAAGGTCTAGGTCACAGGTCAATCCAAAATGTTGTGTGGATAGTTGTCATTTCGATAGATATGTCAAACTAAAGGTCAGTCAAAAGAGAAATAGTCAAAAGAGAAACAGTCAAAAGAGAAATAGTCAAAAGAGAAACAGTCAAAAGAGAAATAGAGAATTTGAAGTCAAATGTTGATCTGAAACATATGCAATTGCAGCATCAGGCAGAAATATGTAAAATGTAAACCACAGATCAAATGTCAATACCAAACATCTAGGTCAAAGGTCAATCTGAAATTTAAGGGTCTTTTAGCTAAAGGTCACAATCCATATACATGTATGAGAATTATCACAAACAAAACACATGAGATTACAGCAATACATACCTTTCTCACTTACACTCTGTACCTGTGACTGTTTGGAATTTAAATTGCTAACGCTGCAGAGAAAGGTAGTCATGTTGTGACATATGCTTCAAGTGCTGATGGGCCTTTAGCAGTTGGGAAGCTATATTGGCCTGGTGCAACATTGTGGTGCATAATGACAAAAGCTCTTTCGAGAAGATGAATATGAATGCAATGGTGAGGCCATTTCTGTTAAATACCACTTGATCACAGATGGAAAAATCAGAAATAATTAAATCCCCGTCCCATTAATTTTTCCATTTCCTATATCCTATAATTAAACAATCTGCACAATTAATATTACAAAGTTTTATGGGTATTTTATTAGGAAGGGGTCAGAATGGCGTTAGAATAGCATTTCATGTAGGTGTCAAGTGCAAAATGCGGTGATCAGGGGGTTTGACAGAGAAATCACATACCAGAATCAGTCTCGGTACAGTTAGTACAATACAGAGGGGGCAGGGGCCCCGAGTTGCACAGATCGACCTGGCAACAAAAGTTGTACCCTAGGTGTATGTTACGTAATCGATGACAGAGTTGCGGCCCTTTGGGGCTCTGTATCATTGAACCAGAATAACAACTGAAAATAAACAAACAAACTGTGCAGCCATTTGTTTTGACATACAATTACAATTTGCCAGTAAAAAACTTTAATTTTTCTCTTGTGTATTTCTTAAGCTTTCACAATCAAGTTTTCCAATAACCTTATATTGCCACCCCCACCCCTACACAAGTACACCTGTTGTCTTTTTAAGAAAATCAGAAGTGTAACAAGTCCTATATAGTTTAAATATTTTTCTTTTATAAAAGTTGTATATTTTTTTCTAGTGTGATCATATACAACTTCAGATTTTCAAATGTCAGAAAGACTATGTTTCAGCTGTAACAGAATATTAATACAATTTACAAATTTATGTCAATAGGTAGTGATATTGGAAACCATAGCGGTGGAGCACACATTCACAACTGAATTACCTGGTACATTTGGTGAAAAACAGCAAATATACAGAAAAAGGAAAATTAATTAATGATGCTCAAAATAAGTTTTTTCCAATCCCGAATGTAAGTCTATATTCAATTTAATTTGCATTTGTCTGATAGGGTCCAATGTGGCACATGCTACACTGATACCCTAAGGTACAATGTTCTATTTTCAGTAATTTGTATTTTCATCCACCTGTCTATCTGACTGACCTGTAACGTATCTTGTCCTCCCGAGTCCCGCCCATCTTTGTGATTGATGTGACGCATCTTCCTCCTTCGCCCGCGTCACACTCACTATTTGGACAATCGGAGCAGTAGCATTTCAGCCCTGAAACACACAATATTAATTATCCGGTATAATACATTGGTTTTACTAACTTATTATCGCCTGGGCAATTATTATAACACCAAGAAAATGAAAGTAGTCCTGGGTATTGGAAGCAGCACACTTAAATCATGCAATTACATTTTCACGTGGATGTACCTGTAGGTAGAGCGAGAGCAGATACAACACAACAATTAAGTGAAGTTCTGGTTTAACAAAAAATATGTCCTTGGATGTAATATAACATATAAAATGTAAATTAATTTAGGCAGAACAAAAATTATTTGGTGTTTCCGGTAACCCTATATACCTACCCTAATTTTGTGTGGCTACCCTACTAAACTTTATAAGGCAATTTTCAAAGAATCACTATTAAAGTCAAGATCACTCTCCTTTATAAACCATATAATATATTTATTTACCTACCTACCAACCCTAAATTTTAATTATTTTTTCCAACATGTTACAGGAAACACACATATTTTTTTGTCTGGCCTTATAAGTATTTATCTCTGACATCATCTTGAAATTAAAAAACACTTTATAATGATGTCATATCCGACTAACTAACAACCAAGTTGGGTATTAACATGTAACACGGTTTCTTTTATAAAATGTACAATGCCCATCAAAGGTCAATGATCATAATCACACTAGTACTTCCGCCTGAAGTTGGTAGAATACTTAATATCCCGATGAAATGTATTGACTACCAAGAAAAAATGTTCTCTTTGATTTAAATACATTATTTCCTGAAAGCTATATGTATACCCGCAATACCATAAACTGCATTAAGGTAAACCCTAGCCTTAAATCTTAAAATATTGGTGTGGTCTAAATAATATAATTCTGATTGTACAACTGGCACACAACACTGGATTCATATGCTGATAACTATAAGATTCTGATATGATGTGCAGGGAAACTCTATAGCATTATCAATATACAACAAGTTTGGCCTAGTTTTTATAATTGCAAAATGAGCCATCAGTGATCGTGTGTTAGCTGATCATGAACACCTCAAGCTCGTAGATATTCCACATAACATAATGAGCCAATAAACACAGATTATTTTCTGAATTTTTCGTGATAACTGTATAAAAAAGAAGTCACCAGGGGTTTTGCCAGGTATTTATAGGGTCCAGTACGTATAAACAGGGACCCATTCCCAATTGAAAAATGACCCTGCATTTTCCCAATTTCTGTGTTAATATATTTTCCCAACTCAATTGGATTAAAAAACATGTTTATACAAGTTTCAAGTTGTTATATATATGTGCAACGTTTAAAGTATAACTATAGCACATCCAAAATACATAAATAACAAAAAATCCAAAATACTTAAACAAAAGCACTGAAAATTGATGTGTTTACTGTTTATTTATTGCTATACATTTAACTGCAAGAAACAGAGAGGAAAACTTTAACTTTTGCTTATCCTATTGGATAATTTTTTCCAAATGATGATACTTTTCCAAACCTGTGCATGTGGGAACACTGATGATATTTCCCAATTTTGGCAAATGGCTAATGCTGATGATATTTTCCCAATTCCTGCTCAGGGGCCCTTTCCCAAAATAGCTGACAAAACCCCTGGTCACATGATATACATGTACATGGTCTATATAACACCAATTAAAAGATATATTTGGTGTACACATAAGAGGACAGCGAGGACTACACTAAGGACATCGTTCCGTGGATCACAGTAGCTGTGACAGCTTGTCTGCATCTGAGGAGCTGTCCGACCTCAAAGCGTGACCTGGATGGGCTGGACATTTTGAATCTCAGAGGACCTGGTAAGCGACAACTCAATTACCCCCTCATGGTGACCGAACACCGACTTCGTCAGTGAAGTGAAGACGATAAACCCATCAACCCACCAATATTTGGTGTAGGACAGTATACGTTACATGTCACATTCATGTGCCAGATAATATCCCCAGTGTTTCATTACTTTATTATAAAGAGGATAAATGCTGCAAAATCTTGAAATATAAAATCAGCAATAAACAGCTAGGACGTTAAAAGCAAACATAAAATAAGTTAATAAAATATTAGTTCAAGTTCCAATACTGGTACGCAAGTACTAAAACATCTCAGTACCGAAATCTCTGTACTAACTCCCTTATGGCACGTAACTCAATACTTCTGCAATCATCCATCATATGAATGCATAACTATTGATAGGCCTAACAAATCTTCAGTTCAAATTCTGCTGGTTGGAAGCTTAGTTCTGATACGTTGGAAAGCTATATATAGCTACAGTACTGCAAAATAGCCCCCCACCACCACCTCCAAGGATAATGACATTTCAAAAGTGCTGGTTGGAAGATAAGCCCGAATAGTTGAGAAGCTACTGCAAAATTGTCCTACTAATGGTGTAACTTAACTTTTAACAAATGTCAATGTCAACAAGACTGAAGAGATCTCAATCACTTAATCAGTCGTGTGGTGATGATTATGAGAAGATGCGTTAAGGCATCTAGTCAGATTCTGCCTACAGAACAAAATTTTGTTCTTGAATTAACAGAAACCTCAAATAACAAATAAATATAGATATAATGCAATGACTGACAGCATTAAATGGGTTTCATTACCAAGCGAAAGTTCGGCGTCTGCGTACCAAATTTTGCCTCGTATACTCAAATCTAGGGTTCATGTGGTCGATTGATACTATCAGACAACACCGTAGCGAACACTACGACATGCAATACTGTACCTGTTGTGATATCAAACCCACAGGAAACGATTAATAACAATGGAAAAATAACACAACAAATATCCATTTTCTTCGGCAGCATCCATTAAAACATAGTTGACACAGGATACATATCCGCTAGAAAATAGTTCTTTATTTATACAGTAAAATCTTAAATAATGTAGTATTATATATCGTATAGAGGTGTACAGATTTTGAACCATCGTCGGATAATATTCTGGACATTGTATTTGAAAAGTTAAACGTCATTACTTCAAATAAAAGTACATTAAGCTTTTCGGAAATATGTATTGAGTGAATGGCAAAACCCGAGGTCAGTTTCCGGAGAATTTAGGCAATCAAGCTGACGCGTAGGAATATGCTATCAAGGGGCACATGAAGGAAAACCGTCTGGCACATTTTTTATATGTAGGTCAAGGGGCCTTTAAAGGTAGTCTGTAAGCCTCACAGAATTATAAGAAAGTTTTTTTCTATTAATGGATTGCGAATATGCGGAATACAGAGTGAAATGTTCTTTATTACTCTGGGGAAAAAATACATAATTTAGTAAAAGAGGTGCTTGTATCCATCCCTTCATGCATATGATGTGCTTTGCACCTTAAATGTTTTATCCTAGATTGGTAGGGGGTTTCGAGCTGGTAAAAAAAAATATGGGGATTTTTATTTGATTTTTTTGTTATTTTAGTAAGCAGGTGCCATTTGGGTCTCGAATTTTCATGAATAAAGACATCCCTAAATATGTTTTTAGCAGGAAATATTATAGACCTATAATAAAATCTTAGTACAGATATATAACTACGTTTATAGAACTTTATACTCATTGATGTCAAGAAAATTTGACCGAGTATTTAAAATCCATGCATAAATAAAAATACAAGCATAGGGCCTCTATCGTTAATCAAGATATATTTAACTTAGAGGACACTGTTTTAACCTGTAGCACGGAACTAGATTATCTAAGTCCGTGCCTGTACCTAGATTTGTATAATTTCTTTCATTAGCACGACATGCGAAAAATCGAAATTTAATACTCCTTTTTTTTCAATTCTCGTCCTTTAATTCTTTTGATGAAAGAGCGAAAATGAGGAAGTGGTCCAAATCAGAGACTTCATTTTGGAAGGACAAACGGGACTAAAGGACAAAATATCACAAACTTAATCAGCAACCGTGCTACAGAAGAAGAAAAGTTTATATACAGGGGCGGATCCAGGAATTATGAAGAGCTTGAAAAGAGGTGTGAGTGCGTAAAAATTGTGGAAAAAATATTTGAAAAATAAAAAGTTACAAGTTTTCATGTTTCCATGTAGTGTCGACGTCGACGTAAGCTGACCCAGCTTCTTGAGACGCATCTATATACTGTTCTCTAATCACGTTCGGTTGTGAGTAACAGGTTGGTACACATTTTTGGTGATGATGACGCCAGTGATTGTTTAACCGAGATTTAAAACTATTTAGGGAGGGGCCTCTACAACTGTGTTTGGGAGAGAGATCCACACATCTACGACTCTATTACTGTACAGGTTCCTGGTTATATTGAGCCTCATCCTTTTCTTGAAAAGTGTTTTTTTGAATTTCCTCTTGTTGTAGCCAATGTTGCCATTTTAATAATTTTGTCCTTGTCCAGAATGTCAATGTCATAAATGATTTTGAAAATTTGTATGACGTCTCCTCTCAATCGTCTATATTCTAAACTGGGAGAGGCCCAGCATACAAAGTCTCTCACTGTAGGATTTTCCTTTTAGGAATGGTAGGCGTCTTGTTGACCTGCGTTGGACATTTTCAATGGCAATTTGATCCTTTTTGAACATTGGAGACCATATGCAGGTGGCATATTCCAAGTGTGGCCGCACTAAGTTTTTAAATAATTGAATAAACATGTCTTTGTTTATAAATGTGAATGTCCGAAATATTAGTCCGAGGATTCTGTTGGCTTTGGAGACATGGTCAGTACAAAAAGAGGTTGTAAGCATTCTACATTTTTTGGAAACGAAAATTCCGCGATCCAGCGCGTTACAGCTTTATGATTTTGTTCGGGCTAAAGTGAACTATTTGTAAATTCTAGGACTATAAATGTCTGCATGTTTTCTTTAAGCTGATATGGCTTAGCTTAAATTGACCATAAACTACTTATTTCACAGAAAGATAGATACTTATATAGATATTTATCCTTAAAATTCACAAAGAGAAGTCTTTCTTTGTGAAGTAATCTACAAGTTCACATTTCTAAAGGACTTTCTTAAATTGCATATCAGAGAGTTTAGGATGTGTGTGTCTGTAGTGGAACCTCGTACGTTCGAGTACTAAGGTTTGTATATACATGCAGTGCGTGTGAACCTCGTTAGTCCGGTGTAACGTTGAAAATTGATCCCCGTTGAAAATAGAACCGGAGTCAGTTTTCAACGTTGAATATGGAACCGGTGAGCCGTTGAAAACTGACTCTCCCGTTGAAAATCCCCATAAGAGGTAAATTTTCCACGTGTAGGCCGTTGAAAACTTACCCGTTAAATCTTACCCGTTGAAAACGGACCATTTCTTTGTCCGAATTACCAAAATGATCTCGTGTACCTATGCGTTCATCGACCGACCAAATCAGGTCAGTGTGACCTACTTCTCAATATTTGAAATACACTAGCAGAAATATTCTGTTTACCTAAATTAGGTAAATTTGACATACTTTTGAAAAATTGGTAAAATTCACCTAATTAAATCACTATGACCTACTTTTGAAAATTGACCCAGATTACTCAAAATTTCCATTGGGTTCAGAAATGAACTCAAAACTGTTGTTTCAACTAATAAGGTCAATGTGACCTACTTTTGAAAAATTGTTTCACCAAATTAGGTAAATTTAACCTACATTTGAGAAATTGACCTGCATTATTATTTGTCATTGGACTCAGAAATGAACTTAGACCCGTTTTTGCTCCTAATTAGGTAGAACTGACTTTAAATTTAGTATGTTGCCGGTAGTAATATATGTTAACATGATGGTATGGTACTCATTCCCTCAGCGTTCACCCTCATATGCCACGATAAATATGCCTCTATGCGTATCGTTCGATAATTTAAGTATGTTTGGGGTTGATTAATACTTTTTTTTAAACTTTGTGGGTTGCGGATTATGAAAAAGACGAGATGTTGAATATTTATCGCATTATTTCACCATGTCAATTGTATATGCAATTTCTTCTTAGGGGGGGGGGCAGTAAACGTTTTTCATTATAAAACTACCTAAAACAACCCCATGACTTAATCCTCCATTCTATATAAACAATCTTCAATTGACGATTGAATTTCTGTCATTTTTCATTCTATTATATTTGCCTGTTTAATTTACACGTATTTCCAAAAACAGAAATGATATTTTTTTGGTTGTTTTAGCTCATTGTGAAAACAAAGTATATTTGTGATTTACCCTACCCCTTTTGGTACACCAAAAACCCACCTTCGGTCAAACTTTTGCCTTAGCTTTTGCGCATGTGATACAATAAGACATCTTTGAACAAACCAAGGAGGTGACGACCCGGATATACCGGGTCCAAAAAGGGCTTATTGGCACTCATCCTTTCTTGACCAAGTCTCATCAGAATCCTGCCATATTTGACTAAGGTGCGGAGACCGTCGACCAATCAGAAAGCAGTATGCTACATGTAATAAATTATGTGCTGATTTTGCTCACTGTAAGCTTATTATTTATCATTGTATCATACAAATATTGAATCCGGTCATGTTTGACAAAGTTATTGTGCAGAAACCGTCAACCAATCACAGCACAGTATGATACATGTAATAAAGTATGCGCGGATTTTGCTAAAATTCGAACTTAGCCTCAGCCTGTGTATAATGTATACATGCATACCAGGTTTCATTAAAATCTAACGATATTTAAGCAAATTATCTTGCGGAAACTTAAGTTTTGAAATCGACCAATCAGATCACAATAGTCTAATTAACTAGTTCGAACATAGCCTCAGTCATTGGATAATGTACATGCGTACCAAGTGTGACTCATCCTAATTAAATGACATTAAGCAATATATCATGCGGAAACTAAAATACGAACGGACGGACGGAGCGCCATAACATAATACGGGCTATGAATAAATAAAACGGATTTTTTTTTAAAGATGGAAAATATTTAAGAATTCTTGGATGATGCAGACAGTATTAGTGATATACTGGTATTTAATTAATTGTAAGTAAACATTGTGTAATATTTTTTTCTCAGCCTGCATGTTTTACGGGTTTTTTTTCTGCATTATTGAATGTAAATGAAATTATAAAAACTATGTCCAATCGGTAGATGAATCATTGTGACACAGCTTATTTGAAATTAATGCAGCTAGTATTCAAATGTCAACGTTGAATATAGACCCAGGGCCATCTTTTACAATTGATTATTGAAAGGTATTATAATGTTCTGGGCCCGCGACCATTTTCTACTGTTGAATATATAAAGACGACAAAATATTCTGGGGTCCATTTTCAACATTGAATACTGATCCGGGACCAGTTTTGACGATTGAATATGCAAAGGCCACATTATGTTTCTGGGATCTAATTTCAACGTTGAATAGTGACAATGGAATATGGAATGGTGTCCAGGCGCGTAGCTGCCTATACGCTGGTACGCAGACGAATACACCCAATTTCAAATAGAAAAGAACCCCAAAGCAATGCTTTTGCACACCTTGTCCATTCGGAGTGGATTCATTTAGGAGCGGATCCAGTTCAGGGAGTTTGTAGGGACAAAGTCTCAGAACTGGACCCGCTCCTAAATGAATCCACTCCGAATAAGGGCTTTAACTACGCCCCTGGTGTAATGATGTTCCGGGGTCTACTTTTAAAGTTGAATATAACCCTGGGACCATATGTTATCGATTAAATGCATGTTTCATTTTGGGACTGATCAACATGTTGACAACATTATCAATCTACCAGATAAGAAATCAAAAAGATCAAGCTAAGATAGAATTAAGGAAGATCTAACGATGGTGGGAGCAAATATCCCACTTTGGTCTCTTGTTTGACATTTCAATATGAAAAAATGACATAAAGTTCTAGGGTCCATTTTCAACGTTAAATATCAACCCACAACCATTTTCGCCAA